AAAAAAAAAGCTGGTTGACCGGGCGCCCGGGCACCCAACTTGTGCCCGGATACATGCCCGGGTGCCCGCCCGGGTATGAACCCCGGGCAGGGTTCCGAGCAGCCCCAGCTCCAAAATAGAAAAGAAAAAAAAAATCCAGAAAAAAAAATTGTTGTGTAAAACTGAATACAAACGACTTTTGGCTGAGGGTCACATCAGAAATCCTCACGGAATTGGAGATAAAAAAGAAAATAACAGAATCAGACGAAGGCACCCCCTTGAAACCCCTTTAGCCCCTTAAAAACCAATTTCCCCCCCTTTGACAGCCAACGCTCAAAATTAAAAAAGATCCCGGATTTGGGCTCCTCTGGCCATGCAAAAAAAAACTCCACCCCCAAAAAATAAAAGAGCTGATTTTTCTAGAACCACAAGGGCTGGGCTGCTGCTCTTTCTTCGTCTTTTCTCCCCCCCTTCTCTGCTGGATGTACAAAACTTGCTTGCCGGTGATAAGCAACAGACTGTTGCCACCCAGAATAGACGGGGCTCGTGGTTTTTGTATAATATTAAAAAAAAAAAAAAAAGGAGCTGATTTTTGCCTGCACGGGTGCCCCGTGCAGGTGACCCATGGGCGACTTGCCCGGGTGCACGCCCATGCCGCACAGCCTGAATAAAAACATAATTGAATGAAAATCAGCTGTGACCAGTCTGCTAGTGTGCTATCCGGATATGGTGGCCGTTGGGGGTCAGGCCCCTTCGTGTGGATCGTTTTATAGGTGGATGCGGGGTTGGGAATCCCCGTGGATGAGGGCTGTGTGATGAAGAGCACGTGTGCACAACCTGCCTGTGTGGCGTTGAGTGTGTGGTAAGGACACTGCAGCCGTGCAGGGGTGGGGTTGATTATCATGACCGGTATGGTTCCACTTTTGAATACCGTGACCTGACCTGGCTGCAGTGGTTACGATGCTTGGCTCTTTAGGCCAAGGACTCCGGTTCGAACCCGTGCGTTGGTCTGAGGTTATTGCACCGCCATGTGGCTGAATGGTACACAGGACTACACACATGTATTGGGCTGGCGACGAGTCGACGACGACAGCCATTTCGGTCTGGTAGCCCCAAGCCCCCGGAAGTTTCAAATGTATGCAAACTCACTCTTTTATCTTTTGCCTGGGGGGTGTAGAGGTGGTTTAATAAACAGGTCATGGATTTGAATCCTCCTTGAATCCGATGGATACAAAAAGCTCAGGAGTAACCCCCTTAAAATCATACCATTACCCTTCTATATCCGTTTCGAGTTTGAACTTTAACCTTTAAGTCAAAGTCAACCCTGTACTGCTTTGTGTTGGTACCACTTTTACGTTCTCTCTCTCTCTCTCTCTCTCTCTCTCTCTCTCTCTCTCTCTCTCTCTCTCTCTCTCTCTCTCTCTCTCTCTCTCTCTCTCTCTCTCT